CACCGTGGGCTCTGTTCACCATGCCATAAGCTTTGTCATCTTCCAAGGTGAGATGTCCTTGCAGAAGTCCAGAGCTGTTTCCCACCTACTCCCTTGTTCCAGTAAATCATTCCTAGTAACAGATTTAAACTGTCAGTGGCAGTGACTCTGGTGCCACACTCTGATACTCCAGGCTTACCTTCTGAAGTTATTCCTACAGGTTTGGACAGTCACCATGCCTGTCTGCTAGGATCCATGGTGATCAATCTCAAAGCAATCACTCCAAGATCACCAATATGTGCCAGAGGCTCAAGAGAGCCAGCCACAGTGTTGAAATTTTGAATGTAAACCACTTCAGAACATGGCATTGAGCATTCTACAGTGGGGGAGGGGCAGAGAGATAAACAGGGCTGGGGACATTCCATGAGGGGTTTCGGCAGGTACATGAGAAACTTGGCGACAGTTTAAATGATACATCCTTGATGGAGGTGATTGCACATACGTGGTGTTTGCCTCTACGCACATTTTAATGGATTCTTACAGTCACAACACACTGGGGTCACCGGTGCCCTTTTCCTTCATTTTGTCTTTAATAGACTTTGTTTTATTCCTCCATCCTGAGTCCTGAATCACTCCTAGAGACTGCAGGCTTCTGAGTATTTTTACAATGTTTACACTTACTCAACCAATTATATATTCAGACAAATATAGAGGGTGTAAGCAACAGAGCTAGACATATTTGTAATTGAGATCTTAGGAGATACTTGTATCATCCTGCCATGTGCATATCATTCTTTATGAAGCAGTCCTTGTGTGTCCATCCAGGGCAGTGCTGGCATGTCTGCACCCTGCAGTATGATACTCTCAGTCACACTTTTGCTTGACTCCCCAGCCCATCAAGGCATTGCTCTGCATAAGTAGCACATGGGACTAAAATTGAAAATACTTCTCTTTCCATCTGTGGTATTGAGTCCTTTTATTGCAAACAGATATTTGACAATTAAAACTCTGTTCTCCACCACATAAAATAATGTGTAAGCGTATGTGACAAATTGCCCTTCCTGAACTCGTCAATGGGAACAGGGTTGAATGGGAGGGACAGGAAGAGAGGAAACATCCTTCTACTCCAAGACACAGAGGCTCAGGGCCCCATTTTCCAGGCATAGAAACCCATTACCTGTGAACATTTTGACAAAGCCAAGGTTCCATTTGCCATTGCCCAATATCGATTTTTTTTGTGTGTGAGCCCACCACATTCCTAGGCCTATATGATCCTGGATTCACTAGCTGTAGGCTTCCATCTTGGTTTTTTATATGATGGTGTCCTTTCAATCTTGTTTCCTGGTTGCATCTCTGACTTAATAGAATTCACCTTGGAAATTGTTGTTAGGATGCTAAAGCAAAAGGCATTCACAACACATAATATTTGCATTTGTATGACCATTGCACAGAATGGAGATGACATTGCAATGCATGTTGGGTAAAAGACCCAAATGTTCTACACTGTGGTAAGCTGTTTGCATCCTGCATATTGGGAGTTTTTGACACCAATTGACAGCTTCCCCTACAATTCCCCTTTTAGTCTAAAAGAGGATTAAAACTTAACAGTATAAAGGTAAAATATAAGAAGATAACTATCTATTTTAACTAAACCCTAAAGTCATAAACAATAGGAAGCTATTCCTAACTAGGTATATACACTATCCTAAGTGACAACAATGGGGAAACGGGGCGTAGCATTTTCCAAGTTACTTCCTGCTGAAATGGGATGGCGATAGTCATGTGGGGTCCTGTAGAAAGAAAATGTTAGTATCCAGTCCATGTTAGATGGGATTCACTTGATTGAAGATCTCGCTTGAAATCCTCAACTTGATTGAAGTCAGTACCCGAACCTCTGGCCGGAGTGTCAGCTGAAATGGAGCAAGTTGGATCCAGTGCAGTCGAGGAGCTGTGGCCCATTTTCTTTCCAGGGTGTCCAGGGATTGCTGTCAGGCAGGTCTTCATTGGCTGTGTGGGACTCAAACATAAACAGTTAGCAGAGAAATGTTTGCTTGTGTATGTACACATGCTAGGGAATGCAACC